ACTCACTCAACCACCCACCCACCCACCCACTCACTCACCCACCCACCCACTCACTCACTCAACCACCCACCCACTCACTCACTCACCCACTCAACCACCCACCCACTCACTCACTCACCCACTCACTCACTCACCCACTCACTCACTCACTCACCCACTCACTCACTCACCCACTCACTCACTCACTCACCCACTCACTCACTCACCCACTCACTCACTCACCCACTCACTCACTCAACCACCCACTCACTCACTCACCCACTCACTCACCCACCCACCCACTCACCCACTCACTCACTCACCCACTCACCCACCCACTCTCACCCACTCACTCACTCAGCCACTCACTCACCCACTCACTCACCCACTCACACACTCACCCACTCACTCACCCACTCACCCACCCACACTCACTCACCCACTCACTCACTCACTCACCCACCCACTCACTCACCCACTCACTCACCCACTCACTCACCCACTCACCCAACCCACCTCAGCCACCCAACCACTCACTCACCTCACCCACCCACCCACCTCACCCACCCACCCACTCACTCACCCACACTCAGCCACCCACACTCACACACTCACTCACACTCACACTCACTCACCCACCCACCCACACTCACCCACTCACTCACTCACTCACCCACTCACTCACTCACCCACCCACCCACCCACACTCACCCACTCACTCACCCACTCACTCACCCACCCACCCACACACCCACTCACTCAACCACCCACCCACTCACCCACCCACCCACCCACACACCCACCCACCCACTCACTCACTCACCCACCCACACACCCACCCACACACCCACCCACCCACTCACTCACCCACCCACACACCCACCCACCCACTCACTCACTCAACCACCCACTCACTCACCCACTCACCCACCCACCCACCCACACACCCACCCACACACCCACCCACCCACTCACCCACTCACTCACCCACCCACACATCCACACATCCACCCACTCACTCACCCACCCACCCACTCACTCACTCACTCACCCACCCACCCACCCACTCACCCACCCACCCACTCACCCACCCACCCACTCACCCACCCACCCACTCACCCACCCACCCACTCACCCACCCACCCACTCACCCACCCACCCACTCACCCACCCACCCACTCACCCACCCACCCACCCACCCACTCACTCAACCACCCACCCACACACTCACCCACTCACTCACCCACCCACCCACTCACTCACTCACCCACTTACTCACTCACCCACTTACTCACTCACCCACTTACTCACCCACGCACCCACTCACCCACCCACCCACCCACACACCCACCCACACACCCACCCACTCACTCACCCACTCACTCACCCACTCACTCACCCACTCACTCACCCACCCACTCACCCACCCACTCACCCACCCACTCACTCACCCACCCACTCACTCACCCACTCACACACTCACCCACCCACTCACTCACTCACTCAACCACCCACCCACTCACTCACCCACCCACTCACTCACTCACCCACCCACACACCCACTCACTCACTCACCCACTCACTCACCCACTCACTCACCCACTCACTCACCCACTCACTCACCCACTCACTCACCCACTCACTCACTCACTCACCCACTCACTCACCCACACACCCACCCACTCACTCACCCACTCACCCACTCACTCACTCAACCACCCACCCACTCACTCACCCACCCACTCACTCACTCACCCACCCACACACCCACTCACTCACTCACCCACTCACTCACCCACTCACCCACACACTCACTCACTCACTCACCCACTCACTCACCCACTCACTCACCCACACACCCACCCACTCACTCACCCACTCACTCACCCACTCACTCACTCACCCACTCACTCACCCACTCACTCACCCACCCACCCACCCACTCACCCACCCACCCACACACCCACACACCCACTCACTCACTCACCCACCCACCCACCCACTCACTCACCCACTCACCCACTCACTCACCTTCTGAGACGCAGTGGCTAGCCTAGCCCCGTGCGTGCCCAGCGCGAGACAGGACAGAGGCCCTTCATGTGCTGTGATCTCCACCCACTCACCCACCCACTCAACCACCCACTCACCCACCCACTCACCCACCCACTCACCCACCCACTCACCCACCCACTCAACCACCCACTCAACCACCCACTCAACCACCCACTCACCCACCCACTCACCCACCCACCCACTCACCCACTCACCTACTCACCCACCCACTCACTCACTCACCCACCCACCCACTCACCCACTCACTCAACCACCCACTCACCCACCCACTCACCCACTCACTCACCCACTCACTCACCCACCCACTCACTCACTCAACCACCCAATCACCCACCCACCCACTCACACACCCACTCACCCACCCACTCACTCACCCACTCACTCACCCACTCACTCACCCACTCACCCACTCACTCACCCACTCACCCACCCACACACCCACTCACTCACTCACCCCACTCACCCACCCACTCACTCACCCACTCACTCACCCACTCACTCACCCACTCACCCACTCACTCAACCACCCACCCACACACTCACTCACTCACTCACCCACTCACCCACTCACTCACTCACCCACACACCCACTCACCCACTCACCCACCCACCCACTCACCCACCCACTCACCCACTCACCCACCCACTCACCTTCTGAGACGCAGTGGCTAGCCTAGCCCCGTGCGTGCCCAGCGCGAGACAGGACAGAGGCCCTTCATGTGCTGTGATCTCTACCCACTCACCCACCCACTCACCCACTCACCCACTCACTCACCCACTCACTCACTCACTCACCCACACACCCACTCACTCACTCACCCACCCACTCACTCACCCACCCACTCACTCACCCACCCACTCACTCACCCACCCACTCACTCACTCACCCACCCACCCACACACCCACTCACCCACTCACCCACTCACTCACTCACCCACACACCCACACACCCACTCACTCAACCACCCACTCACTCACTCACTCAACCACCCACCCACTCACTCAACCACCCACCCACCCACCCACACACCCACCCACCCACCCACCCACCCACTCACCCACCCACTCACCCACTCACCCACACACTCACTCACTCACTCACCCACCCACTAACCCACACACCCACTCACTCAACCACTCACTCACCCACTCACCCACCCACTCACCTTCTGAGACGCAGTGGCTAGCCTAGCCCCGTGCGTGCCCAGCGCGAGACAGGACAGAGGCCCTTCATGTGCTGTGATCTCCACCCACTCACCCACCCACTCACCCACCCACTCACCCACTCACCCACCCACTCACCCACCCACTCACCCACTCACCCACTCACCCACCCACTCACCCACCCACTCACTCACTCACTCACCCACTCACCCACTCACTCACCCACTCACCCACTCACTCACCCACTCACCCACACACTCACTCACTCACTCACCCACTCACTCACCCACTCACCCACACACTCACTCACTCACTCACCCACTCACTCACCCACACACCCACTCACTCACTCACTCACCCACTCACTCACTCACCCACACACCCACTCACTCACTCAACCACCCACTCACTCACTCACCCACTCACTCACTCACCACCCACTCACTCACCTTCTGAGACGCAGTGGCTAGCCTAGCCCCGTGCGTGCCCAGCGCGAGACAGGACAGAGGCCGTTCATGTGCTGTGATCTCTACCCACTCACCCACCCACTCACCCACCCACTCACCCACCCACTCACCCACCCACTCACTCACTCACTCAACCACCCACCCACTCACTCAACCACCCACCCACTCACCCACTCACCCACTCACCCACCCACTCACTCACTCACCCACTCACCCACACACTCACTCACTCACTCACCCACCCACTAACCCACACACCCACTCACTCAACCACCCACTCACCCACTCACTCACTCACTCACCCACTCACCCACTCACCCACCCACCCACCCACTCAACCACTCACTCTCCCACTCACCCACTCACTCACCCACTCACTCACTCACTCACCCACTCACCCACCCACTCACCTACTCACCCACTCACTCACCCACTCACCCACACACTCACTCACTCACTCACCCACCCACTCACTCACTCACCCACCCACCCACTCACCACCCACTCACCTTCTGAGACGCAGTGGCTAGCCTAGCCCCGTGCGTGCCCAGCGCGAGACAGGACAGAGGCCCTTCATGTGCAGCGATCTCTACCCACTCACCCACCCACCCACTCACCCACCCACCCACCCACTCACCCACCCACCCACCCACTCACCCACCCACCCACCCACTCACCCACCCACCCACCCACTCACCCACTCACCCACCCACCCACTCACCCACCCACCCACTCACTCACTCAACCACCCACCCACTCACTCACCCACTCACTCAACCACCCACACACTCACTCACTCACTCAACCACTCACTCACCCACTCACCCACACACCCACACACTCACTCACTCAACCACTCACACACCCACTCACCCACCCACTCACTCACTCAACCACCCACACACCCACACACCCACTCACTCAACCACCCACTCACTCACTCACCCACTCACACACTCACCCACACACCCACTCACCCACCCACACACCCACTCACCCACTCACTCACCCACTCACCCACACACTCACTCACTCACCCACCCACTCACTCACTCACCCACCCACCCACTCACCACCCACTCACCTTCTGAGACGCAGTGGCTAGCCTAGCCCCGTGTGTGCCCAGCGCGAGACAGGACAGAGGCCCCTCATGTGCTGTGATCTCCACCCACTCACCCACCCACTCACTCACTCACCCACCCACCCACTCACTCAACCACCCACACACCCACACACCCACCCACCCACTCACTCACTCACTCAACCACCCACCCACTCACTCAACCACCCACCCACCCACTCACTCACCCACTCACTCACCCACCCACTCACCACCCACTCACCACACACCCACTCACTCACCCACCCACTCACTCTCCCACTCACCCACTCACTCACTCACCCACTCACTCACTCACTCACCCACTCACCCACCCACTCACCTACTCACCCACTCACTCACCCACTCACTCACACACCCACACACTCACCCACCCACTCACTCACTCACCCACCCACCCACTCACCACCCACTCACCTTCTGAGACGCAGTGGCTAGCCTAGCCCCGTGCGTGCCCAGCGCGAGACAGGACAGAGGCCCTTCATGTGCAGCGATCTCTAGCGGCGAGCGCTCGGGGCAGGCGAGATCCACGGTCGTCACCTGGCCAACCCGGGGACTTGGGAACACGAGCAGGGAGTTGTTGCTGTGTGGACACAGCGCACAGAGACCTACACACACACAGAGACACACACAGAGAGACACACACAGAGACACACACACATAGAGACACACACACAGACACACACAGAGACTCCATCAGCAGGGAGTTGTTGCTGTGTGGACACAGCGCACAGAGACCTACACACACAGAGACACACACAGAGAGACACACACAGAGACAGAGAGACACACACAGAGACACACAGACACACACAGAGACACACACACACAGACACACACACACAGAGACTCCATCAGCAGGGAGTTGTTGCTGTGTGGACACAGCGCACAGAGACCTACACACACAGAGACACACACAGAGAGACACACACACAGAGACACACACAGAGACACACACAGAGACACACACACAGACACACACACACACACACAGACACACACACAGAGACAGAGAGACACACACACACACAGTGACACACACACACAGAGACACACACAGAGACACACACACACAGAGACACACACAGAGACACACACAGAGACACACACACAGACACACACACAGAGACACACACACAGAGACAGAGAGACACACACACACACAGTGACACACACACACAGAGACACACACAGACACAGAGACACACACACAGACACACACAGACACACACAGTGACACACACACAGAGACACACACAGAGACACAGAGTCACACACACACACAGAGACTCCATCAGCAGGGAGTTGTTGCTGTGTGGACACAGCGCACAGAGACCTACACACACACAGAGACACACACAGAGACAGAGAGACACACACAGAGACACAGAGACACACACAGAGACACAGACACACACACACACAGACACACACACACACAGAGACTCCATCAGCAGGGAGTTGTTGCTGTGTGGACACAGCGCACAGAGACCTACACACACACAGAGACACACACACAGAGACACAGAGACACACACAGAGACACAGACACACACACACACAGAGACACACACACAGAGAGACTCCATCAGCAGGGAGTTGTTGCTGTGTGGACACAGCGCACAGAGACCTACACACACAGAGACACACACAGAGAGACACACACAGAGACAGACACATATAGACACAGAGATACACACACATAGACACACACACACAGAGACACACACAGAGACACACACACACAGAGACACACACAGAGACACACACACACAGAGACACACACAGAGACACACACAGAGACACACACACAGACACACACAGACACACACACAGAGACACACACAGAGACAGAGAGACACACACACACAGAGACACACACAGACACAGAGACACACACACAGACACACACACAGACACACACAGACACACACAGTGACACACACACAGAGACACACACAGAGACACAGAGACACACACACACACAGAGACTCCATCAGCAGGGAGTTGTTGCTGTGTGGACACAGCGCACAGAGACCTACACACACACACATAGACACAGAGACACACACACACACAGTGACACAGAGACACACACACACAGAGACACACACAGACACAGAGACACACACACAGACACACACACAGACACAGAGAGACACAGAGACACACACAGACACACACAGAGACACACACACAGAGACACACACAGACACACACACAGACACACACACAGAGACACACACAGAGAGACACAGACATAGACACACACAGAGACACACACAGAGACACAGACACAGACACACACAGAGACACACACACACACACAAAGACACACACACACACAGAGACACACACACACAGAGACACACACAGACACACACACACAGAGACACACACACACAGAGACACACACACAGACACACAGAGACACACACAGAGACACACACAGACACACAGAGACACACACAGAGACACACACAGACACACAGACACACACAGATACAGAGAGACACACACACACACACAGACACAGAGTAGTAGTGGTAGTAGTAGTGGTAGTTGTAGTGGTAGTCGTGGTAGTAGTAGTAGTAGTGGTAGTTGTAGTGGTAGTGGTGGTAGTAGTAGTGGTAGTAGTGGTAGTTGTAGTGGTAGTTGGTGGTAGTTGTGGTGGTAGTTGTGGTGGTAGTAGTAGTGGTAGTAGTAGTGGTAGTAGTGGTGGTAGTTGTAGTGGTAGTTGTAGTGGTAGTAGTTGTGGTGGTAGCTGTGGTGGTAGTTGTAGTGGTAGTTGTGGTGGTAGTCGTGGTGGTAGTTGTGGTGGTAGTAGTAGTGGTAGTAGTAGTGGTAGTTGTGGTGGTAGTTGTAGTGGTAGTTGTGGTGGTAATTGTGGTGGTAGTAGTAGTGGTAGTTGTGGTGGTAGTTGTAGTGGTAGTCGTGGTGGTAGCTGTGATGGTAGTTGTGGTGGTAGCTGTGGTGGTAGTTGTGGTGGTAGCTGTGGTGGTAGTTGTTGTGGTAGTAGTGGTGGTAGTCGTGGTGGTAGTTGTGGTGGTAGTTGTGGTGGTAGTTGTGGTGGTAGTAGAAGTGGTAGCTGTGGTGGTAGTTGTAGTGGTAGTTGTAGTGGTAGTTGTGGTGGTAGTTGTGGTGGTAGTCGTGGTAGTAGTTGTGGTGGTAGTTGTAGTGGTAGTAGTAGTGGTAGTAGTAGTGGTAGTAGTAGTGGTAGTCGTGGTGGTAGTTGTGGTGGTAGTTGTGGTGGTAGTTGTGGTGGTAGTAGAAGTGGTAGTAGTGATGGTAGTTGTGGTGGTAGTTGTAGTGGTAGTCGTGGAGGTAGTTGTAGTGGTAGTTGTGGTGGTAGTTGTGGTGGTAGTTGTGGTGGTAGCTGTGGTGGTAGTTGTGGTGGTAGTAGTGGTAGTTGTGGTGGTAATTGTGGTGGTAGCTGTGGTGGTAGTTGTGGTGGTAGTAGTAGTGGTAGTTGTAGTGGTGGTAGTAGTAGTGGTAGTAGTAGTGGTGGTAGTAGTGGTGGTAGTAGTGGTGGTAGTTGTAGTGGTAGTTGTAGTGGTAGTTGTGGTGGTAGTTGTGGTGGTAGTTGTAGTGGTAGTTGTAGTGGTAGTTGTGGCGGTAGTTGTAGTGGTGGTAGTAGTAGTGGTAGTTGTCGTGGTAGTTGTAGTGGTAGTTGTGGTGGTAGTTGTAGTGGTAGTTGTAGTGGTAGTTGTAGTGGTAGTTGTAGTGGTGGTAGTAGTAGTTGTAGTGGTAGTTGTCGTGGTAGTTGTAGTGGTAGTTGTAGTGGTAGTTGTAGTGGTAGTTGTAGTGGTAGTTGTAGTGGTAGCTGTGGTGGCAGTTGTGGTGGTAGCTGTGGTGGTAGTTGTGGTGGTAGTAGTAGTGGTAGTTGTGGTGGTAGCTGTGGTGGTAGTTGTGGTGGTAGTCGTGGTGGTAGTTGTGGTGGTAGTAGTAGTGGTAGTAGTAGTGGTAGTAGTGGTGGTAGCTGTGGTGGTAGTTGTGGTGGTAGTAGTAGTGGTAGTTGTGGTGGTAGCTGTGGTGGTAGTTGTGGTGGTAGTCGTGGTGGTAGTTGTGGTGGTAGTAGTAGTGGTAGTCGTGGTGGTACCTTTAGGATTATGGCTTGTCTCAAACACATGCAGCTGGTGTGGGTTCTGTGTGAAGGTGAACACCTTGATCAGAGAGTCCAACACCACCACGATACTAGAAGGTAGACACACACACACACACAGGTACACACACACACAGTGATCAGAGAGTCCAACACCACCACGATACTAGAAGGTAGACACACACACAGGTAGACACACACACACACACAGGTAGACACACACAGGTAGACACACACACAGGTAGACACACACACACAGGTAGACACACACACAGGTAGACACACACAGGTAGACACACACACAGGTAGACACACACAGGTAGACACACACACAGGTAGACACACACACACACAGGTAGACACACACACACACAGGTACACACACACAGGTAGACACACACACAGGTAGACACACACACACACAGGTAGACACACACACTCATGTAGACACACACACACACAGGTAGACACACACACAGGTAGACACACACACTGGTAGACACACACACATGTAGACACACACACAGGTAGACACACACACAGGTAGACACACACACACAGGTAGACACACACACAGGTAGACACACACACAGGTAGACACACACACATGTAGACACACACACAGGTAGACACACACACAGGTAGACACACACACTGGTAGACACACACACAGGTAGACACACACACACAGGTAGACACACACACAGGTAGACACACACACACAGGTAGACACACACACACAGGTAGACACACACACAGGTAGACACACACACACACAGGTAGACACACACACACACACAGGTAGACACACACACAGGTAGACACACACACACAGGTAGACACACACACAGGTAGACACACACACAGGTAGACACACACAGGTAGACACACACACAGGTAGACACACACACACACACAGGTAGACACACACACAGGTAGACATACACACAGGTAGACACACACACAGGTAGACACACACACACAGGTAGACACACACACAGGTAGACACACACACACACACAGGTAGACACACACACACACACAGGTAGACACACACACAGGTAGACACACACACACAGGTAGACACACACACAGGTAGACACACACACAGGTAGACACACACACAGGTAGACACACACACAGGTACACACACACACAGGTAGACACACACACACAGGTACACACACACACAGGTAGACACACACACACAGGTAGACACACACACACACAGGTAGACACACACACAGGTAGACACACACACACACAGGTAGACACACACACAGGTAGACACACACACACAGGTAGACACACACACACAGGTAGACACACACACAGGTAGACACACACACAGGTAGACACACACAGGTAGACACACACACAGGTAGACACACACACACAGGTAGACACACACACAGGTAGACACACACACAGGTAGACACACACACAGGTACACACACACACAGGTAGACACACACACACAGGTAGACACACACACACAGGTAGACACACACAGGTAGACACACACACAGGTAGACACACACACACAGGTAGACACACACACATGTAGACACACACACAGGTAGACACACACACAGGTAGACACACACACTGGTAGACACACACACACACAGGTAGACACACACACTGGTAGACACACACACAGGTAGACACACACACAGGTAGACACACACACAGGTAGACACACAGGTAGACACACACACACAGGTAGACACACACACACAGGTAGACACACACACACACACAGGTAGACACACACACACAGGTAGACACACACACACAGGTAGACACACACAGGTAGACACACACAGGTAGACATACACACACAGGTAGACACACACACACAGGTAGACACACACACACAGGTAGACACACACACAGGCTAGACACACACACACAGGTAGACACACACACACAGGTAGACACACACACAGGTACACACACACACACAGGTAGACACACACACACAGGTAGACACACACACAGGTAGACACACACACAGGTAGACACACACACAGGTAGACACACACACAGGTAGACACACACACACAGGTAGACACACACACACAGGTAGACACACACACAGGTACACACACACAGGTAGACACACACACAGGTACACACACACACACAGGTAGACACACACACAGTGATCACAGAGACCAGTACCACTACGGTACTAGAAGGTAGACACACACACAGGTAGACACACACACAGGTAGACACACACACAGGTAGACACACACACACACAGGTAGACACACACACAGGTAGACACACACACAGGTAGACACACACACACACAGGTAGACACACACACAGGTAGACACACACACACAGGTAGACACACACACAGGTAGACACACACACAGGTAGACACACACACACACAGGTAGACACACACACAGGTAGACACACACACACACAGGTAGACACACACACACACACAGGTAGACACACACACAGGTAGACACACACACAGGTAGACACACACACAGGTAGACACACACACAGGTAGACACACACACTGGTAGACACACACACAGGTAGACACACACACAAGTAGACACACACACAGGTAGACACACACACAGGTAGACACACACACACAGGTAGACACACACACAGGTAGACACACACAGGTAGACACACACAGGTAGACACACACACACAGGTAGACACACACACAGGTAGACACACACACACAGGTAGACACACACACAGGTAGACACACACACAGGTAGACACACACACAGGTAGACACACACACACAGGTAGACACACACACAGGTAGACACACACACAGGTAGACACACACACACAGGTAGACACACACACAGGTAGACACACACACAGGTAGACACACACACACACACAGGTAGACACACACACAGGTAGACACACACACAGGTACACACACACACAGGTAGACACACACAGGTAGACACACACACAGGTAGACACACACACACAGGTAGACACACACACAGGTAGACACACACACACAGGTAGACACACACACTGGTAGACACACACACACAGGTAGACACACACACAGGTAGACACACACACAGGTAGACACACACACAGGTAGACACACACACAGGTAGACACACACACACACAGGTAGACACACACATACAGGTAGACACACACACACAGGTAGACACACACACAGGTAGACACACACACAGGTAGACACACACACACACAGGTAGACACACACACACAGGTAGACACACACACACAGGTAGACACACACACACACAGGTAGACACACACATACAGGTAGACACACACACACACAGGTACACACACACACAGGTACACACACACACTGATCACAGAGACCAGTACCACCACCAGGGTACTAGAAGGTAGGCAGACACAGACAGAGACACAGACAGACACAGAGACACAGACAGAGACACACACAGACAGACACACAGACAGAGACACACACAGACAGAGACACACACAGACAGAGACACACACAGGCAGAGACACACACAGACAGACACAGAGACACACACAGACAGAGACACACACAGAGACACACACAGACAGAGACACACACAGAGACACACACAGACAGACACACAGACACAGACAGACACACAGACAGACACAGAGACACAGACAGACACAGAGACACAGACAGACACAGAGACACAGACAGAGACACACACAGACAGAGACACACACAGACAGAGACACACAGACAGAGACACACAGACATAGACACACACAGACAGAGACACACAGAGACACACACAGAGAAAGAGACACACACAGTGAGACACACACAGACAGAGACACACAGAGACACAGACACACAGAGACACACACAGAGACACACACACACATAGAGACACAGAGACAGAGACACACAGAGACAAAGACAGAGACACACAGAGACACACACAGAGACAAACAGAGACAGAGACACAGAGACAGAGAGACACACAGAGACAGAGAGACACACAGAGACAGACACACACAGAGACACACACACAGAGACACACACACACAGACGGAGAGACAGAGACACACACACAGAGACAGAGAGACACACACACAGAGACAGACAGAGACAGAGAGACAGAGACACACAGACAGACAGAGACACAGAGACACACAGAGACACACACACACAGACAGAGACACAGAGACAGAGACACACAGAGACAGAGACAGAGACACACAGAGACAGAGACACAGAGACAGAGAGACAGAGACACAGACAGAGAGACACAGACACAGAGAGACACAGAGACAGAGACACATACAGAGACACACACACACATAGAGACACAGAGAGACAGACACAGAGACAGAGAGACAGAGACACACAGAGACAGAGAGACAGAGACAGAGAGACACATACAGAGACACAGACAGAGAGACACAGACACACACAGAGACACAGACAGAGACAGAGACAGAGACACAGAGACACAGAGACAAAGACACAGAGACACACACACACAGAGACACACAGAGACACACGGAGACAGGGACACACACACACACAGAGACACAGAGACACAGACACACAGAGAGACAGAGACACAGAGAGAGACACAGAGAGAGACACAGAGACACAGAGACACACACACAGACACAGAGAGACAGAAACACACACACAGAGACAGACAGAGAGACAGAGACACACAGAGAGACAGAGATACAGAGACACACAGAGACACACACACAGACAGAGACACAGAGACAGAGACACATAAAGAGACACACACACAGACACACACACACACAGAGACACAGAGAGACAGACACAGAGACAGAGAGACAGAGACACAGAGACACATACAGAGACACAGACAGAGAGACACAGACACACACAGAGACACAGACAGAGAGACAGAGACAGAGAGACAGAGACACACACACACAGAGACACACAGAGACAGAGACAGGGACACAGAGAGAGACAGAGACACACACACACAGACAGAGACACACACACACAGACAGAGACACAGACACAGAGACACAGAGAGACAGAGACACAGAGAGAGACATAGAGACACAGAGACAGAGACACAGAGACAGAGACACACAAAGACACAGAGACACAGAGACACACACACAGAGACACACACACACACAGACAGAGACACACAGAGACACAGAGATACAGAGACACACAGAGACACACACAGAGAGACATACACAGAGAGACAGACACACACACACACAGACAGAGACACACACAGAGACACACACAGAGACACAGACAGAGACAGACACAGAGACAGAGACACAGAGAGACACACACAGAGACAGAGAGACACACAGAGACAGAGAGACAGTGACACAGAGACACAGAGACACACACAGAGACACAGACACAGAGACACAGAGACAGAGAGACACAGAGACACAGAGACACACACACACAAAGACACAGAAACAGAGAGACACACACAGAGAGACAGAGAGACACAGAGACAGAGACACAGTGAGACACACAGAGACACAGTGAGACACACACACACACACAGAGACACAGAGAGACACAGAGAGACAGAGAGACACAGAGACAGAGACACAGTGAGACACACAGAGACACAGTGAGACACACACACAGAGAGACAGAGAGACAGAGAGACACGAGACACAGAGATAGAGACACAGTGAGACACACAGAGACACAGTGCGACACACACACACAGACACAGAGACAGAGAGACACAGAGACAGAGACACAGTGAGACACACAGAGACACAGTGAGACACACACACACACAGAGACAGAGACACAGAGACACACAGAGACACAGAGACAGAGACACAGACAGAGAGACACACACACACACAGAGACAGAGAGACACACACACACAGAGAGACACACACACACAGAGACACACACACAGAGACACAGTGAGACACACACACACAGAGACAGAGAGACAGAGAGACACAGAGACACAGTGAGACACACAGAGACACAGTGAGACACACACACACAGAGACACAGAGACAGAGACACAGACAGAGACACACAGAGACACAGAGACAGAGACACAGACAGAGACAGAGAGACACACACAC